CCCACTGTGGTCAGCTGGAGGTCTGCCAGTGCTGGGGTGTCTGGAAATGAGGATACACAACGGTTTAATTCAGGATGATGACTTAGAAGAGAATTTAAAAAGAGAGGATTTGAGTGCTAAGCTTCAGTCCTACAGTTAAATTATCCCCTGACAGCTAAGTTCTGTCAATAAAGTAGTTAAACCTGTATGTACAGTATCCATTTGTAATTATGTGAAACTTTAGATTGAGAAAGCCCTCTGCTGTGAGAGGTTAGGATTAGTGTGCTGTAAAAAGATCTCTATTCACTACATTTGACTGCGTTTGCTTCTCACATCTCACCTTCCTGAGTGCACACTTTGACAGACATGGCTTTCTCTTTGCCTGAGGCGTGACGAGCCGTGATGGTGACCAAGTAAGTGGTATCCGGTTGGAGGTCTCTGAGAAGGGTGGAGTTCTGAGTTCTGCCCAGTGTGATAGCATGGAGTTTGCCCCTGGGCAGGGCCGAATATTCAATATAGTAACTTATGATCTTTTCTGGCTCAAGGGGACCCCAACTGACACGAACACTGGTTTGTCCCGACTCAGAAATGGTCACCACAGAAGGACTCAGCACCTCTAGTGTAGAGGAGAAGAAACACAACATTGATTAAGAGTAGTTTTTTTAGGCGTCATGATTAAAGATAGATTATTCAGGAATTTTTTGAATTTAATTATAATCACTACCTATAGATGGTGCTGTAAACTCAATTAGCATTTTCTGGTCCTTACATTGAGTGCATTGGTAAAATATTATAATTGTAGTTTATATTATATAAAATATGTACTGTATATATATCTGACAAAGTCATGATTAAACAATAATTACATCCCATTTGGCCAAATAAATTACAAATGTGAACATGTGACAGCTATGCTCCTGTCTCAAATAAGCCTTCAACTGTGTTCTATACTCATGAGACATTTAATGTCCTAGTAATAACCTAAAATAGTCTCTCTTGACCAGAGGGCTGATCCTGTTTCCCCTAGTTTCCCACACATTGCTACATTTTTTAGTTTCAACTAGCATCATGTAAGTTACATAACCCACACACTCAAAATGAAGGAGAAACCACAATACAGATTTAAAAAACAACCTAAAATAAAATCCCTGAATAATCTACCTTAAGTAAGTTTAAATTTGAGAAACAAATATTGGTGGGTTTTTATTTGTACGTGGTCCCACCTGGTTTTGTTGTGAAGGTGACAGACAGCGGGTTAAATGTATTTTCATTGGACTCTGGCGTCAGTGTGGCAGTGTAGGTGGTGTCAGGCTTCAGGCCTGTTAGTCTCGCTGTGCTGGAATCAGCAGTTTTAGTAAGTCTCTGGTAATGGCTACTGCCGGTGCTCGGACTAGTCCCAGTTCCAGTGGTTCCACCAGTTCCTGTGCCTTCTGTCTGAACTGGCCTAAAACGGATCTCGTAGTAGCCTTTCAAGCCAGTGAGGACAGGACGCCAGTGGAGTGTTGCAGAGTTGGTGGAGACGTCACGGACCTGAATTCGTTCAGCTCGAATTATCTCTGATGAAGGAAGAACAGAGAAGAGTGAAGTTACCGTGAGGTGTCACATCTATTTTACACTTTTCTAATCTTAAATAAAACATGGACTGACTGCTGACAGGAAGGATGACATGAGAGGGAGCTTAAAATGCCTTGGCTACAGACGGCCACCCACGT